ATAATGCTCTGAGTACTTCAACGTGAGTAGAACTTCTTCCTTTCTTCTTCCTTTGCTCTCTTAATCTCGTGTCTTTAAGGAGCAACCTTCATTTCCGGAATGCAATAGTCCCATTTCCATATAAGGTATGGGACTGATGGAAAGGTCTGTCACCGCCCCGTTCTGCATGCTGCAGCGAAGTGTACCTCACCCGGCCTGCAGTTTTGGACACAGCCATGGTCACCAAACACTTAATAGCCTCTACCTCAAGAGGTAGAGGAGCCAAATGGCTGGCTCACTGCTGCCAACTAGTGGTCAAGAGGCTGAACTACAACATAAAAATGAACGGCTGGCAGGAAAGTTGACATTTTAATACAGGGCTTTAGTATATCGATACAGTATCGGTAAATGAAATATCGCGATATTTCAGTGTATRTATATTTTCTTACACCACTAATGTGATGTATTGCTACTAAAAGTTATATTACATCTAAACACACTATTTCAGTGCAGAATTTTCATGTTTGTTTGTTTTCCCAAAGCTGTGTAATGGGATACAGGACAAAACATTTGAGCAAAGAAGTAATAAGGCATGAGCATTTAAGCACAAATATATGATCGCTCATGTTGCTTCCGCAAAAAACAAGCTGCATGTACAAATATGGTTTAAATAACGTACAAGCGAAATATTATTTGGATGATTTTTCTGTTTTTACTGAATACTTTATATATCAACAAAGTCATCTACAAGTAAAATGTAGTGTTTCAAATGTGACATCTTATGAAATGACTGGAATTCCTTCAGTCACCATGTTACTATCAGTCATCATCTCTATCTTTACAGGAACTAACTGGATATAAAAGGTTTAGGTCAGTGACAAGTAAACACCTAAAACAACATTTCATGGTCAATACATTGATTATAACTAATTTCACACGCAAGTTTCTATTTCCTCCCCACGCTGGTTAAAAACTGAGTAGGTTTCCTCCCAGTGATGCCTGGTTTCTATCTCGTTTTTGTGATTCAGAGGTTGCAGGAATAAAACACTAACAAACTAGTTTTCTGTGCAGGAATAACCAGGCAGTGCAGCTCTGAAACGGTCTGAGGACCCTTCGGTTTAAACAAAAACTGGAGGCGAAAACAGCAGCAGCTAGATCGATGCTAGCTTGTTTTGCGCCAATGTAAAGCACACGATCGTATAGGACGACACTTCCGGTGTTGGATTTCAAAAGAAATGTAACACCGCATTTTCAGTTTTTTATTTAATTTTTTTTTCGCTCAACAAACTCTGAAAATTATTTTGACAGTGAGCATGGGAATATATTAAAAACAGGCCTCAAATATGAGTAGTGTTAAGAAGTTAGGGTTGAATAAATTTTATTTTGTGTGGAAAAACGACACAATATCCGGTATAAGTTTAGCCAACTTGATATTTTCGTCAGGGAAGCACCCTGTGGATCGCGACAGCAGCTATCTGTTCRATCGGTTCAATGGATTGCTGCTAGCATGCTAATACAGCTCATCACTCTTACCTTGTATTTGTCGAAGCCCGCGAGCTGCTCCTGAGTAACATATTCGTAAAGAGCCATGGCGGTGCAGTGTGGCTCAACTATAAGACGAATCAATCTCTCTTCATTAAGAGAGGCCAATCCCTAATGTTAGCTGCCTATTCGAAGCACCATCTAGCTTTAGCCGCTGTCTTCACGCCGGGTGAGGCGATGTGGAATCACTGGAGCCGCGCCTCCTMTGTATGGCAGGCCGTTGTTACATGTAATCAAACCACAATTCCGTCGTGCTCATCTTCACAATGAGAACGCGCACTGCTTAGAAAACTCTATTGAAAATAATACTAACACTTACAAAAGTTTAAGTGCTCATTTTGACATTAACAACAAGCTACAATCTATGTTGTAAATTTGCATAATTCATTTTAAGTTTGTCATTTCAAAACCAACTATCCATAATGGCTAAATAATAAATGATAAATGAGCTTGCTAAACTCATTTGATGAAAAAAAAAAATACAGAAACGTGAACGAACCAAGTTTTCAAAACATTTTTTTTCTGAAACATGTGAAATGTCAAAAGAACTTTTTTCTGTAGAAAAGCATCCAGTTTAACCGTGTTTAGGTTTTATTTGATTTAAAAAAAAATTAATAAAATTTTGTGACGCCGTTAAACGTGACGTGTCTTCTTCTACAACCGGAAGTGAGAGTAATTCTACGTGTGCGCTTGTAATACAGGCTGAAGCGTCACTCAGACGAGATATAAAAAAGCAACATAAAGAAAAAGGTAAGAGTTGTGTTTTAGCGGCACTGCATTTTGACATTGTTTTAATTTGTGTAAGTTTTGAATGCGTCATTACGAAGGTCGAATCATGGTGTTTGTAGCTTGTTAGCCATTTAGCTAAGTTAGCATGTTGACAAACCTGTTTAAAAACACCAAAATTAGTTATTTTAATGGGCTGCTGTTGATCATTAAAACGCAGCTCAAAACTGATACCAAAGGATTTGTCTGACTTGTAATAATATATGCATAAAAATGTGTGTACTTCAATGATTTAACTACATAAATCACTTTAGAAATGAATGGCTACACCTGATGGAACAAGTAATGAATCCTTAAAYAAGATCTGCACATCTGAGATCTATTTAAACTAGATCTAATCATTTATCCTCCACTGAGCCAGCATGATGCTTTGATCCWTTCTCCTGATGTTTGCGCTCTTTTATTTCCAGGATGGTGACGGATGTGCAGCTGGCCATCTTTGCCAACATGCTCGGCGTGTCCTTATTCCTGCTGGTCGTCTTGTACCATTATGTTGCTGTCAACAACCCTAAAAAACAGGATTAGAGTCCAGCTGCCATGACTGCACAGCCTGGTGAGTGCGGAGTACCAGACATTTTCAGGTCTTTGAATTCCTGAGTCCACCACAGTGGTAAACACAGCCAGCTGTCGTTTGTGGCAAATTATTTACGAACCAAGTTATGACTCTGATTAACATGTGAGACATATATATATGTGATCCATCAGTGTACTTTTTTCAATATCTGCTTTTGAAATGAACAAACGACCAAACAGCACACGGGCCTGTTCWGTATATTATTTTGCAAAGCAGCACACTGAAAAATGTAACGATTGTAGGTTTTAAAGTCTTTTTGTCTTTTTTCCTCCACAGGTTGGATGTGCGTCGGGAGTCACGACTCTCCTCCTGCTCTTCTCTGAAGACCAGTTTCTGTTGCACACAAATGTTTCTGTTTTCTAATAAAAATGTTTGAATCCCATTTGAAATATTATTCTCTTAATATCTACAGTTAATAGACTTAAGAATTTAGCTTCCGGGTTTGAAAGTTTCACAATGAAAACTATTAATATAAATGTGGCGACTAGAGAAGTTTTCACTGGAGCTGAACTGTGTCATTATTGAATTTTCCAAACAGAAGAATCTTAAACCTTGGCTGCAGCTGAGTCCAGAGGATGTAAATAAATGATGTTAGTGTTGTTTTTCCATCAGTGTAACGTGCAGCAGGGGATTCTTGACGAATCTTTGCTTCAAGCATCACCACTGTGACGATGATCTGGTTTCAAGATTCTGACTCCTTCGTGTTTTTTTAAGCATATTTAAAGCCTCTTCTTCCATTTGGTTAACTGATAATTTGACAAGTTCAACTTAATTTAATAATTATGAACTTAAGAAAATATGCACCTGTTTTCCATTTGTCCTTGGTAGATTTCAGTTTATTTTTCTSAAATAATTCATAACCACTTAAAAATTCACAGAAATGATAAATACATTATAAATTGAAAATAAGACCAAAAAAAGTTTTTAAAAATGTGCAGTTGTGCTCAGATATATTAAAAAATAATAATCGCTCATCTGCTGTGATGACAAAAGTGAAGTGAAAATATAACTTAATGCAGAATAATATTAGAGTGATATAAATATCAGTTTGTTGGAGAGGGCAGCAGGAACCAAAACGTACTGTAGTTCAGTGACTGGAGCTGAAATATTGAAGATAATTCAAGTTTACAGATGATTCTTAAAGGCACTTCATCCTCAGCTGCTCCAATAAAATGAAAAGTTGCTCAGTAAATGTAACGCACCGTTGTTGACGTGGTCAGGATTCAGTACGCAAAAAGAAAATACCAGTATTGTACATGAAATCATCCCTAAATGACCCATTACTGTAACGTTTAAAAGGATTTTGAAAATACAGGAATGTGGGTTCACAGTTGACAAAAATACTTACTAATACACTTTTCCACACACATTCAGCTCAAGCTCCTCTGTAAACACACACACACACACGACCTGACATGTTTAAGTCGTATGTTGCGTTCAGGTACAGGATTATGTCCCGTGTGTTTCAGGTGTGGCCTCTACGACAGCCGTGGGTTCACAGTGGAGACTCCTCTCGCCCCCTTCTTTCTCTGATATGCCTGTTAAAAAAAACAACAAGATATCAGCGATAAACCTGCCATGTTTAGACTCTGAAGAGATGCTTTTGAACTGAAATGATGAAATCCTGAGAAGCAATAGGATAAAAATAGAGTAGTTTTCCCTGATTAGTTGTAACATTAGACTTTATTTAATAAACACATATTTTAACTGTAAAATAAAGACCGTAAAAATACTGTAGGCGGTTTAGTTTTTATAATTTTTTAAAAATATATTTTAACACAGACGGAGCCATTTTATTTACACGCAAAGCATTCTGGGTAAATGATGACGTGGATAGGTCCTCGGTGTGAGCGAATGACCACCATGAAGGTTTATCTTGAACAATATCTGATGATCGACTCTTTTAAATGAAACCAGAGAGCGTTGACAGAGAGGAGAAGGTAGAAATGACTCAGCCTGTAACTGAAAATATAGATGGAGGACAACAGTCATGGAAGAAGAACCTCAGCTTAGCCTGTTAGCTTTAGCATTAACCCCGATGCTATCACCATATGCAGTACAGGTTCTGGTCATAAAATTAGAATATCATGAAAAAGTAGATTTATTTCAGTAATTC